TGTTGAGGTCAATAAAGTCACTGTACATTTTTCATTTTTCATTGTGCTTTTTCACCATGACAATGTTGGCAATCCACTCAAGATAGTACGATTCCCTAATAAAGCCAGTTTTCAATAGCTTGTTGACCTCTTTATCAATAACCTTTTACTTTTCACAGGCAAAGCTTTTTTTCTTTTGTTGAATTGGCTTCATGTTTGAATCAATGTGTAACCTTTGAACCATTATTAAAGATCAATCCTTAGCATATCCGATGGGATCCATACAAATCGGTAGGCATTACTCTATAGTAGTTGTACCGGTTATTATTTATGGTTGAGCTTAGCCTTTATTTGTATACATTTATCAGTATCATTTTCAAATAATGGCATAAGTATAAGGTTTTTTTACAGGTTCTAGTCGGCTAATGTTTTCAAGCCTTTGATCGATGATTTTTTTTTTTTTAGGTTGGGACTATCTCTTACGAAAAGGTTGGATCCAACGTGAATGTTAGAAGTTGATTTGTTAGTGTAGTAGAATAATGTATTCATATGGAGAAGACTTAGACAAAAATTGTAATTTGTTTGTATTTATGAGACGACTTAAGAGCTTGGTTCAAATAACATATGTGCCAGCTTAACAGATTGGCATAAAAAAATCTTTAAAACAATTTTCAAAAGATATTTATAGGCGATATGTTTAAGAGCTCGACATGGTTCTTAAGAAAGCTTTTTCTTTTCTCTTTGGTTTGGCAGATCTTCTGATCTTAAGTATTTTTTTTGTTTCTTCGATTTCCTTGACCCTGACCCTTGGTTCTTCTCTATATTGGAACTCATCAGCTTTGGTTGAATTGTCAATTTACTTCTTAGTCTTACCCTTCATAGTCTAATATAAAATTGTCTCGCAATGGACTAGTATCCTCGAACTTCTCTTATGTCATTAAAAGTGGGAAACTTGATCTTCAAATAAGGAGCTGAGCTTATGATTCTCATAACCAACTGACTAAGTTGGCCCAATATCATGTTGTATGTTAAAGGATCATTCACCATCATAAACTCTATAACCAAGGTTGCGCTCTTCAGTTTAATACCTAATGAGATTGGTAGCTTAATTATTCCCTTTACTTACTTTTGTTCATTTCCAAAGCCAATCAAAGTCATAGTGAATAGCTATAGCATCTCATCGGTTATCTTTATTTTCAACATTATAGAATAGTAAAAGACATTGACCAAGCTTTTATTGTTAAATAAGATCCTCCTTACCACATGGTTGTAAACCACGGTCCAAATGATAATGATGTCATCATGTTGAAACTAGATCCTTTCCAAATCTTTCGAGCTAAAGGAGATTGATGTGTCCTTCCAACTTTTTGTTTCTTGACTAAGGACCTAATGGCCATAATTGTCACTTGATTAAATTTTTCTTTACTATCGTCAAAGTCCTTCCAATGATACATTGATTATCCCTATAATAGGCCTAGTATCCACATTATTTTATTTTTTTTCCTTTTGCTTAGCCTTGTGGTTACCACCATATTGGTTCATTTTTTTCTCTTTTTTTTTTTATTTTTTCTTACACTTTCTTTTTAATCTCTTTTTTTAAAATCCCCTTTCCCTTGTCATTGCCTTCTTCATTCTATAAATTTACTCAGTTGACCTTTTTTAATATTTTTTTAATTTCACTCATCAAGTTAATGCAATCCTTAATTTTATGGCTGTAATATTTGTGAAAAGCATTTTTTTTCATCAGATCTCTTCTGTTGTTCTCCCTCAATAACTTAGGCCATCTAAGCTCGGGGTCCCTTTAAGTTTGCATCAGAATCTTTTTTCAGGAGGTATTTAGCGTAATGTAGACACAATTTCATCGACTTAGGTTTTTAACCTTAGGCTACCTTTTTTTTTCCCTTTTGGGGGATTGTGGATTTTTTTCTTTTTCATGAGCCGAGAAAGGGAAATGGGCCTCTTTCACCTTGGCTACTTTTTATTGTAGCTTCAACATTGATGTATTTCTCAATGGTAAGTAATATATCAACCAAATCTTTAATAAGTCTAAGGAAAAGGTGAGCTTGAAGTGGTATTTTCAGTCACTTAACACACTTTTTAATGCAACCACTATAGCAACTTACTTTAAACCTTTAACTTGAAGAGCCTCAGTATTAAAATGCGGTACTACTCTTTCAGGGATACATTTTTACCTTAATAGATCAACGTCAGGCTAAGTGTTATTTTTTTTATTCTTTAACTATTGACTGATTTGGACATGAACGAGTGGCTGAGTTATTTGAATGTAGTAATTGATCTCAGCTTAAGGCTGCTGTACCAAGATTGAGTTACCTTTTTTAATATTACGGTGAACCTTTTGCACATAAGAGCCTTATTAGCTTTCTACATCATCATGTTAGTTCAATAAAGTTTGAGGTGATCGAAAAGGGTAGATGTATCATCATAGGTTTTCAAGGTCAGCATCTTGAATCCCTTGGATGGTACTGCTAGGTTTATTTCCTCAATAAAAGGGAAGGTTTCCAAGAACCTCCGCTTGTCATTAAAGGTAGAGGCTTTGTTCTTTAGCTTTTCTCTATGACCTTTATTCAAGCTTTTAAATCTCTATTTGATTGTGATTCCAAGATGGCTTGTTTGGACTTTTAGGTGGTGGCTTGTGTAAAGGTATGCTCGGGGAAGTGGGTTATTGGTGTTTCATCCTCATTTGATGCAAACGAAATTGCAGTGTCAACATAGGTCAATAGCTTTTGTGTAGGTAGGTTTTGGGAGTTATTAGGTCTAATGCCTTTAACATTTGTGACGAGGGTTATGTTTTGTATCATATCTTTAAGGGATTGGAGTTGTTGCGTAAAGGCTTCAAACTACATGATGGGGACTATTGTGGCAAGTCAGTTTAGGTTTTGCTGGTTGATTTAGGTTTTTTTTTCCTAATGGCAGTTTCTCTTTTCTTAACTACTCTATTTCTTAAAGGCATTTTAGATCGACTTGATGAAAATTTCCCTTACTCGGCATGCCAAATGTTTATGTCGAGCTGTCTAAGATGGATAAAACCTTGAAATTACAAGAGAGAGAGAAAGAGAATGGTTAACAACAAAGACTAGAGATTGTCCCAGTATTCATGCTTCAATTCTCAAGTTAAAGATTGATCTAAGAAAGAAAATAAAAAAATGTGAAATAAAGACTTAAAAGCTTAATAGTTCAAGATGGATTATAAATACCTAAATAGGGTTATTTATATTGCATAATAGAGAGTTTTGAGCCTAGGTTGTTTAAGATTAGCATAAGGGACTAAGGCTGACCTCGTAAGCCTAAATTGAGCTAACAAACCATCCGTCCGTGGCACAAGTCAACATCTTAAGACACTAACTCGTCGGTTATTGAAATGGCCAAATTAATGTGGATCCCATGATTTTGGGTTGGCCTAATACAATAGTTCAACAAAAATAATGAAATACCTTCGCTTGTCAGCTAACTTATACTAAAGAGAAAAAAAAATATATTTTATGATTTGGACACTAAAATACCTCTAACAAATATAGTCTAAAAGTTTTGGATTATAGATTGATCCAGAGGATCCTACCTACGACTATCTCTATTATTTGGTACTGTCTACTAACAATTATAAATCCCATAAATAAGAAAACAATATTCTATTACCATAAATGTATTTGTGAAGATTACAATCAAATAATAATATCAAATTCATGAATACTAAAAAAGCAGTTCATTCATCAAAATTAAAATTTGTAGTAAAATTCATTTATTGTTTGGTGTTATTACTTAAAAGTCTATAATTTTCTTTTAGTGTCGTTGAAAATTTTTATTTATTTTTATTTATTCAATTTTTTTTTTTGTTACAAAGGAGGGCTAGTGCCCTTACAAGGGAGGAGGGGGGATGACGGGGTAGAACCCACGACTTATATGACTTTCAACTTACCTTTTAATCACTAGGTTAAGAGGGAAAAGCCTATTCATTTTATCATTACAATTGGATATAAATGTTTTAAATTAAAAATTAACATTAGTAACTCTTAAAAGTATGCTTTTAACTTAGAAAAATTATTTGATAAGTTGACAATAAAATCTTTTAACTCTACAAACGAAATTAAGATTATAACACATGTTTCACTTTTTTAAAAATTAAATTTGTTAAATATATAAAGGATAGATATCATCATTTTAATCTCACTCGCGAAATTACAAAACCCCACTGACAGTGTATTTTATAATTTTTCTTTGACTTATTCTGTATATAATTTGTGAACGATAACTTGTTTAAAATGGCCGAAACTCAATACTACCATGGGTAACTGCTCAAGATCCTGAGATGTTTGAATCATAAAGACATAAACAAACTGAATAAAAATGGATATTTCAATCTAATTGCAGCCTTTTAATCCAGTCCAAGCAAAGTCTTTTGACTCAAAACTCAAACCCAAAGTAAGAGAATAATGGCTCCAGAAGCCAAAGGAACATAAGAGGAGACAGCTTTATCACCTTTTCCTCCAGTAATTTAGGGGCCAATAAAAATGGAAATGATGGACAAGCTTACGAGCATATGGTAGAACACATAAAATCTACCACTTTGTTTTTGCCGCTAACTGTAAGAAAGAAGAAGAGTGTGATTCGTTCCCTAAGCAACTGCAACACGTAGTTAAAAACTGGTATAATGCGAAAAGATTAAAAGAAGACCAAGGTAAGCATAGCAATTCATTGAGAAAAAACAAACTAGTACCCAAGCGACTAATAGCACAATTAGCATCTTCTTACATATTCTCACAGCAATTCCTTCCATACAAACCCTCCTCCCCCCTCTTAAAAAAAAAAAAGAGTTATTCCTTCCATTCTTCCATGAATATGGGAAACCCTGTTTGACAATGAACAACACAACTCAACACCAACCAAAATTGCACCCAAACACAGACAAGCACGCACACACATGACAACCCCACATAAACCGCCTAGTATATACCACTAAATTTAAATATTCCACCAAATAAAACACAGAATGAGAAGCCGTGTTCTGGTTTAAAGTCTGAAAAAAATTATCATTTGCATACCGGTAATTCACCAGATATTCATGAAGTATAATGACAATCTAATTGAACAAACCTTACACTGCCGGCAATGGCAACCTCTTCTCAAAGAAACAATTACCAAGAATGCTCATTGTAAAAGAGCAAGGCTTGGCTGACCTAGAAGGTCTAATTTATTACATCCTTGTGTGAGAAACAATCTCCAAATTGACTACAAGATGGAATAGATAAACCAAAAGTGTTTGAAGCCCATTCAGGGTGCCGTAGATTCCTTCAAATATGCGATGAGGTCAGCACGTTCCTGTGGCTTCTTCAATCCAGGGAAAACCATTTTTGTTCCAGGAATGTACTGCACAAAAATTTTATCCAGGTGAGCAATACTTTTAGCAAGAATGAACAAGGACAAATTATAACAGCAGAAAAGGTAATAATAACTGCAGCCAAATCTGAAACCACAAAAACAAAATTTTTATTTGTCAACAAACAGGCACGACAAAATGAGTTGAATACCTTTGAATCTAACATTAAAATACAGTCTCTAAAGAAAGCACAAATTATAGAATTCAGAAAAGTTAGTATTTGTTAATGAGTAACAACACCAGTGAATGACAGCACACAATTTCCGACATGTCCTCACAGTTCAAACTATGCTATTGTTACACTCAACCCACCTTCCAACCATAAAAAAACAGGGGAAAACCCAGTTACCAAAGATTAAGCTTCGGTTGTCAATACCAGGATGCATACAACAAATCACATTCCAAACAATAAACACGAAGGGCATTGGCAATAATAAATTAGTATTTACATACCCACATAGATTGACAAGCAAAGAAGTATCAGAAAACATATTGTTAGCGACAAAACTGAGGAAAGATATATGATATTGGGATGTAATATTACAAAATAAAGAAAAAACAAAGGATTTTAAAGTAAAGATATATGATATTGGGATGCAGTATTACAGAATAAACAAAAAAAAAAGGATTTTTAAGTTTAAGTACCTTCTTGGGATTGAGCAGGTAATCATACAAAGTTTTCTCCTCCCAAATTACAGCCATGTTCTTGTTAGCAGCGGAGTATGAGTAGCCTGGAGTTGTACCCGATTGCCTTCCAAACAGACCGTTTAGATTGGGTCCTGACAAACAAAACAAACCAAAAACATCCCATCCATCATATTCCACACAAAATCTCAAACATCGAATAAAAATAAAACACTTCAAGTCAAGTTATTTGGATTAGATCTATGAGAGTTGGGATCCTTCCAAATTATCAATTATATGAATAGATTAGATATAAAAGAATTGGAATCCTTAGAAATAATAAAGCATCTAAAATTAAACAAAAGAAAAGAAAAGAGGAAGGGTACCTTGCTTGTGACCGGCACCTTTGTCGACGGTGTGGCACTGGGCACACTTGGTCTTAAAAATCTTCTCTCCAGCCTTTGCGTCACCAGGAGGTGCTTGCTCAAAGGACGCCATGCTCGCTTAGTGTTTTTTTTTTTTTTTTTTGGTTCAAGAAAGAAAAATTGAGAAAGAAACAATAGAGAGAGAAATGAAAGAGCAGGAAGGGTAAAAGAGGAAAGAGCATTTTGAGAGCTTTCTGCGAATATTCCAAATAAAAAGGCAAGGAAGGAGCGTGTCATGGCCGAGGCAGAGCCACACGTCAACGAACCTCTGATTCACGTGGGGCATTACTATTAGCGGTTCATTTAAAGCATACCCAAGCGGGCAGCCAGGCCAACTTAATCATATGATTTTATCTTTACTATGCTAACGCCTGCAAGTTGAATTACCATTTGTTTCACAAAACACACTTACAAAGCCCATTAGTAATCCTTTTCTTAGCTTTCATTTCATACATACATTTTTTTTTTCTTTCAAATCTCTAACATAATATAAAAATTAATAAGTTACTGTTTATTTTGGAAGATTATATGATTGACGCGTATCAATAAAAGGATAAAAATTAAATAAATCAACCTAAAAAATTGGTTTTGTTAGGGCAATCCAACATATCTTTAATACGATATATTAATTTTTTTTATTTATAGGCTATATTTGATTTAAAAAAATATTTTTTTTATGAATTAAAAAAAAAGATAAAGGTTAAAATATTCTAAGAAAGCATTTAATTCATGAAATTTTAAATTTTGAGAGAAAAAGTGATTTCCTAAGAATTGTAAATTTTTTGGTAAAGGGTAATTCTTCCTATCATAAGAAAATTAGATTTCTATATTTGATTCACGAAATATCATATTACGTAATAAATATTTTTTACTATAATATCTTTCATTACATGTAAATAATATGTAACAAACATTTAAATTGTTAATTGATGTTATTAAAATTAAACCTGTGACAACAAAAATAAAAAAAGTTTTCATTTTTATTATATTTAAAATAAGGTTGTATATTATGAATAAAAAATATATATAATGAAGTTCAAAGACAACATTTATTTAAATATAGATGCAGTCTTTGAGAAAAAAAAATCATTGAACCAACCACTACATTTCTGTTATATAAACATAGTGTTCGTAACAAACACTATGTTTTTATGACAATAAACACACCAACCATTACATTTTTGTTATATAAACATAGTGTTAGTAATAAACATTATGTTTCTATGACAATAAACACAATATTTAATCACAACCAACTACTATGTTTTGGTTTATAAAAAAGCATATAAGCACTAAGTTTCTATTTCATAAACGTAGTCTTTTGATCAATGACGATGTTTATGGGGGAGAAAATGTAGTCTTTGACAACTAAACAGGTAAGACATTTTGACACATACAAATGTAGTCTATGTACAAGATGACATTTTTGTCATTAAAAATGTAGTGTTTGACATGTGAAAAAAATTAAAAAAAATTGATTTTGTAGGCACTATATTTATGAAATGATAAACATTGTGTTTAAGGTTTCTTTATAAACCTTTTCTTCTCTAAATTAGATTGCTAGTCTCTTGCATCTCTCGATATTTTTAAGCCCTAAACCCTACTTCATGGAATCATAGTCATTGCCACTGTCGTTATAACATTCATTGCTGCTATTTTCCCTATCATTGCCATCATTTCTGTCACTGTCGTTTTAGGTAATCCAAACTGATTCTCGGTTCCACTTGAATTTATCTGATTATTTTATACTAAATCATTTTAAATTATTATTATTATTATTATTATTATTTTACTGATTAATCTTAAAAAAAGTCAAAAATTGTTTCAACTCTAGCAGTTGAAATTAAGCTACCAAAAAGTTTTTTTTTACCCCGTAAAGTTTATGTGCATTCAATGCACTGAAAGTCCCTCTGCATTGCCTAATTTTTTCAACACCAAATCCAGCAACCAAAGTCACCAGTGTCAGCCCCAAATGTCTTTCACAATCCCTTAAAACATGGGATTTGAATGCTTATAAAAGCTTTATAAATTGAGCTTGCAATTCATAAAAAAAGGAGAAAAATAGAACCTTAGCCCCGACACAGTCGTGCACCAGCCCAAATACACATAATGCTCTTACTCCACCCAGTATCAACTAGCACCAACACAATCCCTTATCCTTAGCACTAATCAACACTAGTCCTAAACACACCCCTCATTCATAGTCCTTGCCTTGGACACTTCACCCAGCACCCGTACCAACCCCCAACAACACTAAACTAGCCTTGCACAAGTAACCCAGCACCACCAACAAAATTAACCCACCTAAAACCCATTATACCAAAATAAAAAAAATCTAAAAAAAAAAAACACACACACACATAAGTGCTAAAAAAGAACATGAAAAGCCATCACATCCTTATAGGAGGAACCATTAATAAATTTTTTTTTGCAGAAACAAAAATTTTAACTAAGAGTAAAAGTTTCGATTAAGGGGTTTAGAATTTAAGAAAAAAACCTAGTTTGAAAAAAGTGTTTGGGAGACAAAAAAGAGCAATCTTGGATTTTCTTAGAAAATTTTTAAAATTTTTTGGGTAGTTAGAATCTAGAAAATTTTGAAATTTTTAGCCACCAAAAACTAGCAATTTGGTCAGTTTCTAGGAAACTGTTAAAATTTTCAACACTAATTGAAGATCCTAGCCATGACAGGGCAACAATTGACTAGAATCTAGAAAATAATGATGGCCAATGAAAGGAAAAAACTTTTTTAGAAAAAGAAGCTCTAGAGTTTAGAGAAAGAGAGGATAAAGGAAAATTAAAAAAAAATTTATTTTGGCCTTTTATAGGCTACCAAAACGATGCTATTTTGAGGCATTTGACCCGTGCTAGATCCATGCTAGAATTTGAGCATGGACTTGCGTCGGACCTAACCTGTTTGGTAAGTTTTGCCTTTTCTTTTTCTTTTTATTTTCTATTTTGGTTTTTGATTTTACTTATTTTGTGTTGATTTTTTATTGTATTATCGTTATTAGTATTATTGTTTTATGTTATTATTAGTATTCATTCTTTTAGAAATAAGTAAAAAAATAAAAATAGAATTAAAATAAAATGTAGGCTTGGTAAAATTTAAGAATGCATAAATCTTTAAAAAATAATTATTAAGGAAAATTGAAATTTGTTACAAGCAAAATGTTGATTAAATTTCACCAAAGTGTTGGAATAATTTAAGAAATAAAATTTGCAAAAAATAAAAAAAAAACTAATGAATTGTTTAAGTTAATTGTTTAAATTTAATTTTTAAAGAAAACTGAAAGAGTTTGGCTTTCTCTAATTATTGGAAGTAAAAATATTTTTTATATTTCACCAAAGAATTGTGATAATCTAAAAATTATATTTACTAGAATAAAGATTTATTTAAATAATAAATAATAAAATGTCTTTTTAGATGAATATCTTAATTATTACCAAAAAATTTATATTTTTGATTTCACCAAAAAGTTGGGATAATAAAAAAATTAAAATTTATTATCACTAAATAAGGAATTATTTAAATAATAAGAAAAATTATGAAAATAGTAAATAAAAATAATGAATAAAAACAAAATGTTTAATTAAATCTCTTGAGTAAGAGTTTTAAGAAAAATTGGCAGAGTCTTATTTTTCTTAATTGTTACTAGGAGAAATGATTTTTAAGAATTTCACTAAAGAGTCGGGAAAATATTAAAAATCAGTTACAAAAATAATTTTTGGATTTTACCAAAGAGTTGGGATAATCCTAAAATCAGTTTTAATAAATAAATAAATAAATAAAACATCTTATGAAAAAAGTTCAAAAATTTTATGAATGGTCAATTTTCTTAAAAATTTTCTGAATGAAGAAATTTTCTATAGATTCCGCCAAAACATTGGAGAATTTATAGAATGTGAAAATAATAATAATTCACAATAAAATTTTTTTAAAAATAAATTTTAGGAATTAATTTTAAAATAAATAAGATTATATCATCAAAATTAAAGAATAACACATACTTAATTGGTACTGTTCTTCGAATGTTATGGTACTCATAATTGTACTCCTAGACCCAACCCTGATTTCATAAACCAAAACATCTTTTAGTAAATCTTAATTAATTTTGATATTTTTATTAAAAAATGATATTTTGGGTGACCAATTACACCCTTACAAAAAAATATTAGTGGCAACTTTGAAACTTTTCATCAAGTCTAGCAATTGAGTCCTTCGAATAAAAGATCCTTATGATAAATGTTTATTGCTTATGGAATGTAATTACACTACCTTGTTTAAATGTATTAATTTATTCATTACAAGAATACTTTGACGTACCAGTTGAATATAAGAAGGTTGTATTTCGATCTGAGCCGAAATTCAAAGACTTTAAAGGTAAGTTTACTCATAAATATAAATTACTTAGTGCTGATAATTTTGAACTTTTGACTCACCCCTCAGCCACATATTTAGATGTAATTAGTGATGGAAAGTGGATGAAACTTGTTTCAAGTTGGCTATCAGAGATGAATTCAGTGTATGCATAACAATATTTTTTTTATAGAAAATTATCGAAGGTGGATGTTTGTTTCATATGTTATTAAAATTATTTGTTTCATGTGTTTTTGAAATTGTTTGTTGCAAAACATAAAAGAATCCCAACAAAAAAAATGAAGGCCTAAAAAAGTATAACCATCAAGCATCAAGAAAAGGGTATGCAAATGTGAAGCTTGAATTTGTAAGTTTTTTTTTTTTTATTATTATGTATTGTACACTTAGTTTTAAGAATTTGAAATTCATTTACATTAAAATTGCAAACTTATATTTCCATATGGTTTTAGGAAACATCCGAATCAAGTATTAAAATATCAAGATGAGGTGTTTCAAAAAAAGCACATGCATAAAAAACTAGAGATATACTGATGAAGAGCTAAAGAAATGGCTAAGAAGATGGTAAGTTTATATATATCTCGTTTGCTACTTCCACATTTATGCATGTTAACAAATCATATTTAGTTACATAAGCATTTTGTGTTTTAGGATTGTAGACATCTAATTTTGTTTTTGTAGATTTCAACCAGTTGTAAGACTTTTAAAATTCAATCCAGTTTAAATATAACATTTCTTTAATTATGACAAGTTTTT